GAACTTTGTTCTTCTGTTGAGTTTCTGGAATCTTAACAATGATATGCCTATGTGTAGATTTTTTTTGATCAAGGCTATTTGGAGTCCTATATGCCTCACTTATCTGTATGTCTAGCTCTTTTCCCCTGCCTGGGAAGTTTTCTGCCATTAATTCTGCTAAGAGTTTTTTTTATGTCATCTGTACTCTTTCCTGTTTCTTCTTTGACTCCAGTCAGTCTTACGTTATTCCTCTTTGTGTCATCTAGCAGCTGTTGGATTGATTTCTCATATTCCCTTATAATTTTGAAACAATTTTTCTTTTCCTGGTCATTAATTGCAATCTTATATTCTATATCTGAAATTCTGTCCTCACATTGGGTCATTTTGCTGTGTAGACTTTCAATGGAGTTTTTCATCTCCTGGAAATCTATTTGGATCTGTTTTATCGATTTCGTTTGTTTCCTCTGTTGGGATTCCATCATGTTCCTCAGCTCCTCTCTAGATTTATTAATTATGTTTTGCACCAGGAGCACAATTTCTCCTGTTATCTGAGAAATTATTTCTGATTTCATTTTTTCCATATCCCCTTTGGTTGCCAGTTCAGTGGGTCCAGGTGGTTGAGTAATGGAGTGTTCCATCTCATTTCTTTTTGGGGTTGCTGTAGGTGATCTGGAAGTCTGGTTTTGAGACTTATTTATGTGTTTTCTCATTTTGACTGGGGGGGCAGGGTGGGTGCTGTTGGCGTCCGCGCGGCTCACCTCCTCTGAGCTGGGAGAGGTGGGCCAGGAGCCGGGAGCGGCAGTAAGGATGGTGGCCCAAAAGCCCCTTCCTCTGGGCCAGGAGAGGCGGGACATTTTGTGCCCTGGAAGCCCCTTCCTCTGGACCAGGAGCAGTGGGATGGCAGCTCAGAAGCCCCTACCTCGGGGCCGGGAGTGGTGGGACAGATGGCAGCCCAAAAGCCCTTTCCTCTGGTCTGGGAGCGGCCGGAGGAATGGCGGCCCGGAAACCCCTTCCTTTGGACCAGGAGCAGTGGGACGACAGCTCAGAAGCCCCTACCTCTGGGCAGGAATTCTTTAAATGCTGAGAACTTGATTAGCTCCAGTACAGTAGTCTGGTGGTCCCGTGTCCTCTGTGTCTTTGTAGTGTGGAACCAGGTGGCTGTACAGAGAAGAGGCCAAAGGAGTAGGGGGGAGGTCCAGTGGATTGCTGCCGGGGCGGGCTGATTCTGTGTTTTCAGCGTGACTGGCAACCTCGGGACTGCGTCTATAGACCTGCCTGTCTGCAGCGGGTTGATTCGGTGTTTTCAGCGCAACTCAGTTTATCCATTCTTGTCCTGTATGTCACAGTCTCTAGGGTATCCAGAATTCCTCTATAACTTTTGATTTGAGAGATCTGCAGAGGGATTTCTCTTAGTGTGTTTGAACTGCTAAAATGTAATATTATAGAATTGGTGGCTTATAAATAACACAAAGTTATTTCTTAAAGTTCTGGAAGCTGAGAAATTAAAGATTAAGATGCTAGAAGAACTGGTGTATGGTGAGGACCTGCTTCTGTCTTCTTGCTGTACCCTCACATGGTAGAAGGGATGGAAGAAGCTCTCTGGGGCCTCCTTTATAAGGGCACTCACCCCATTCACTGGGGCTCCATTCTCCTGACTTAATTACCTACAGTCCCACCTCCAAATAACATCACTTTGAGAATTAGGCTTCAATATATGAATTTTAGGGGACACAAACATTTAGTCTATTGTAGTGCTTTCCAAACTTCTGAACCAGAGGATTGGCACCTACTTTTCTGCCTTGTTTGGTCTATGGTCTGTGGCTAGGCCCAATTTCCACTCTTCACCTCATCCTGGCCATGTGTGTCTCCAGCCTGCTGCTGCCCAGAGTTGCCATCTTCCTTGAATCTAGATGATATCCTCTGCTTGCTGTAGAGTTGCCAGTCCCCTTTTTGGACTTGATTTATACTTGATGACACTGTCCTGCAGTTTCAATTTTTATTATTTCTTTTTTTTTTTGGTCCGGGGATTGAACTTGGGACCTTGCGCTTTTGAGGCAGGCGACGGAACCACTGAGCTAAATCCCCAGGCTATAGTTTCAATTTTTAATTCCCACTCTTCCTCTGACTCTTTATGTAGATGTGTGAAGTGAATGCATCTGAAGTGAAGCATGATTGATCTTAAGAGAGCTTATTCCAGTACACAAGGTCTTAGCTGCATGTGAGAGCTTAAAGTCCTCTGAATAAGAGAAATAGCAGGGAAATAGGAGCCAACATCTGCTGTGCTGCCATGGACTCTCTTGTAATACTGTGACTGAGAGCATAGAATTTAGAATCTGATTTTTTGAGGTTCTGTTCCAGGCTCTTGTATCTGCCAGCAAAGGGTAACATTTTAGATTCAATTTTCTCATTTGTAAAATGAGATAAAAGATAACTTTAGAAGTTATGAGCATTACATGAGAAATGACTGTAACCCAGTAGAGTGGATTAATTGCTCATTTCTTCATATCATTGTAGAGTGTGGGCAGAGACACAAATAAGACAGGCTACCAATGTGCTGCATCCCAGAATATCTATCTGGAGAGTTTATTTAAGCTTAGAGAGAATGTGGGCTTAAATAGTCAGTGATACACAGGAGCATACAGAGGGAGAAGTAGGGCATTATTTTTTCTTGTCCTTAGTGATATCTTCAATCCAGGATATATATTTGTAAACATTGATATAAATGCCGACATCCCCTCCCATGAAGTGTCCAACCTCGATCCCCTGGAGCTTATTATTGCAGATGACAGTAGCCACAGCCACCTCCTATCAGATATCAGAGAGAGATATATGGTCAGATCTCAGAGGAACCTGCTCTAATCTCCAACTCAAGTGAGCCCTGCCACAATAGAAGTGGGGTCAGAAAGTTTGGGTTCTTTTTCTAGTTTTGCTGTAACCCATCTTGTGTGATCTTGAATGTTAGAGAATTAGCCTCTCTAGATATTATGTACAAAATGAGTCAAACCCCATTTATTTGAACTGGTAAAGGCAGTTTCAATTTGTAAAAAATTTATACTTTTTAAAAAGCAAAGCCTGTTTTCATTATTTTACTTATAGATATTAGAATGAATATCTAGCAAAGTGGTAATAGCAAGACATACTACATGAGGCTCTTTAATGAATAAAGGTACTTTGTAAGGAGACTCCATGTTTAAAGAAACAAAGGTGTCTTTATAGGGGTTTCACCAAATTTTCAAAAAGAATATTTACAAGTTAATAAAATTTACACTATGCTTAAATAATTAATTAGATACATAAAGTAAAAGAAAAACAAGAAAGCTAAATATAGAGAAAAAGATTACCCCAAAAATTCGGCTGAATACTTTCACAAATTTAACACATAAGGAGTTCCTATGTTTTCTTCCTTGTTCAGTTTCCTGGCACTCTTTGTTAGTCATCACAGGGGCCTCCAGGTTCTGCCGTAAGTCAGGATGTCTGCCTGTGGGAATGCAGGGTAAAAGAAAACATTATGCTCACAATTACTATCACTCCTTCTAACCCTCTCCTTCTCTTTCAACTGGTGTCTTTTGTGTGCATATGAGGAAAATAAAGAATTAAAAAAAGGGAATAAATGAACTTGAGCATAATTGTGAGAGTTAATCTTAAGGATTTTTGAAACAGTCTTTCTGTGTCTTTGATGGTTTTTTTGTTTTTGTTTTTGTTTTTTTTGGTACTGGGAATCGAACTTGGGTCCTTGCATTTGCACAGTAGGTGACGAAACCACTGAGCTAAATCCTTGGCCCTTTCTGTGTCTTTGAGATGTAGAGTTTTTTTCTATTCTGTGTCTAGTCCTGAGTGAATAAGAAATGTCCTGACTCAGGTTCTCAGAGGTGTCTTTTACATGTGAAGTGAGCATGTGTGAGGATAGTACAGCAGCCTCCTTAATGTAAACTGTGACTGACGATCAGGAATTGTGTGACCCTGTGCAGAGACAGATAGCTTGGTATCTCCAGCTGTCAAAGCCTTGAAGAGGGCATGGAGCATCAGGCACCTTGGGAGTGGAGGAGCTTTGTACTTCTGATCAAGTCTCTTTTTGCCAGACCATTTCTGTGGCTTCTTCATCCATTTTCTTGTACTCTCTCCTCACAGATCTAAGGACACTGATGCTCCTCTTCAAGGGTAACTGATGGATAGCTTTAATTTTCCATGGGAAGTGCACTCACCAGAGTTTTGGTAGCTCCAGTCTAAACCTGAGAGCAAGCAGATGGTGCCTGGCAAGACATTCTTTGTAGCAAGGGGAAGGATCTGGACTTTGTGGTTGAGCTTGGCTGGCTTATCCAACTTTATGAGCATGAGGTCATCCTGTGGGGCACTGTCGTTATAGTTCCAGTAGCGGATAATCTGGATGGGGTTAATTGTCTGTTCTGTACCATCTCTGACTCTGCTCTTGAAATTTCCCAGCATCACTTTCAGATTTCTGAAGAGAAAGGGGGTTAGAAGTAATTGCTATCATCATCATTATCATTGCTAAGATATTGACTGTTACAGTGTGCCAGGTATTGTGACATACTTTATCTGGATTACTTTATCTAACAATAACTCTGGGCAGTAGACCTATGTTTATCTCTATTTTACAAATGAAGTAGAGGAGGCACATAGTAATTTACTCATGATCAGATAGTAAATAGTGGAGCCCTTGACCATTGTGGTTTAATATGGTGTCCTTAATGTAGTACAGAGGAAAATGATACATGTCAAAGAAATTTAATTTTCCACTGTCTCCAAATTTTCCTATCCAATTTGGGCAATTTCATTTTGGTGGAAACAGGAAAGTGGAATGACCTGAATATTACCTGAATATTCTGTTACCTTCAGTAAACTCATTGACAAGCCTCCTCTACCCTGCTCTGCACTTTTGGAAGGTTAAATGGATTAAATCAGTGCATCCTCTGCCCTGTGCTTCTGATTAGATTTTTGGTTACTAGGAAACACCAAAGATAATTGGAAGGAGAAGGGTGAAGTTACAGCATTTATCCTCCCAGTTCCCTCCCTGCAGCATTGCCTTAGATTGGCTATATGATTCCTATTAGGTCTCTCTCTCTCCTCTCTTGCCTTTCTTCTCTCTCCTCCTCTCTTCTCTCTGACTCTCTCTTTCATCTCTCTTAACCTTTGTCTTGCTAGGCATAGAAATAGTCACTGCATTTTCCTAATACTAACCCTGGGGGTACAGAGCTATTCTTTGTGTTTTCCTAATGATATCTCTACACCTTTGCAATTATTATT